AAATTGAATTTTCAAAATCAAAATCCTCTCCATTCTTGGCTTGACAAGTGGCACCAAAATCCCTTCCATGCATAGCTTGACAAGTGGCACATTTTTAGCCCAGTAAATGATAATGATATCCTTTATGCTTTATCAGTACACTTTGCACTGAAAATAATTCTTATTTCACAATTACAGTATCCTAGGCACTTTAATCATTTTCTATCATAGCCATAATACATTCTTATTATTTTTCTCTTCTCAAAATGCCCTCTTTTTTTTACCATCACAATTTTCTATTAAAGGTAAAGAACAAAACTAATTTAATTACCATAGTAATATGTGTTGGAAGGGCATATAAGGGGCTTCTTTCTACTTCATAATCTCTTATAATTCCTAGTGATACCTTGTGATTTTCTTGGGATTTAATTATCCTTAAAAATATTTATTTGGAATTTTCCAAATAAAAATCTCAATTTAGCTTAAATAGCCCTTAAGTTCCTTTATAATTTCATTAGGGGTATTTTGAGAATTAAACCACCTATACACTATTATATAATTTCCAACACATATTATCCCTATTATTTCTCAATTTTCTAAGGCTCTGAAATATTTCTAATAATTAATTTTTGTCCCATTTTTCTTAATAGTCAATCCTCCATAATTACCAAAAATTCCATTAAAGCTAATGTATGGGTATTTTTGTCATTTATCTTCATCAAAAGGTATATATACTCTATTTCCTAATTTCTGGGGTTTTTCTAAAAAATTTTCTATACTTTCTATAATTATACCTATTGACCTATAACTTTTTGAAATTACGATATTTGTAACACCTCTTTTGTTACCCCATTATATGTCAATTGGAACCATTATAATGTATTTCCCAGCATTTCCAAGTGAAAATTTTCAGTTTCAAAATTTCACATTTAATTCTGTTCGTACATTGTTCATCCGAATGTGGGCCAACTTTGAAAATTGATAACTAATTCTAGAAAAATCGAAACGAAGTGGTTCCAATTTTCACATGAAGCTTGCTAAGAGTTCTATAGAAAAAATATTCATTAGACTTAATTCCATCTAGAATAGCACCAGAAAATTTGTCAAAATGTACTGTTCATATGGTCAATTTTTGAATTTTTAAGATTTTAGCCCACCTTTGGAAGGGCATAACTCTTAGCACAAAACTCCAAATTTGATAGTTTATCACTTCATTTAAATCTAAAAATGAGATCTATTTTCCTGCAAAATCTCAGGTCCAAATTCCAACAATTGCTTATTATTTTATGTATCACAAGTTTAGCCTCTTTTTAGGGTATTTTTATCCTTTAATGCCAATTCCTTAAATCCTTTTCCCATTTGCCTCTTTCCACCACCTTTTGGCATTATGCCATTCAAATTTCCAACATTAGGACATGTCATATAGATCTAATTTACATCATATTATCATTCATAATCCATTACAAACTTAGCATAAAATTTAATATCACATTACATAATAGTCCAAGTTAACATAATATTCATAATACTCTTTCATCCTAGCACCGATTTCTGGATGAGCCATTCCCTATTTGAGACATAATTTAATATAGGGGGAATGAGATTTCATAGAAATCCCAGTAGCAATTGAATTATAACTATCATGTAAATCAAACAAGTTACAACATGACATGTTCTAGAACTTCAAAACATCCTCAAGTCACATAAATTCATGCTTAATCTCATGCTAGGGGGAACATCAACGCGTCTACATTAACACAATTTAATGGATTTGGCCAAAGCATAAACCAAGGTTATTCAATCAATCAAAATCACAACACAAGTTTCTCAATCTAAGCAAACAACAAATCATATTAAATAAGCAAGATATATAATCAGATTATAATTCAAAACTATCTTTTGTTACTTGTCCAATTTGATCACCTCAAGGGACAATAATCCTCCTTACTTCCCCTTCACAAAGCCTTGATGTTTCCTTGATGTAAGTTGGATGATTCCTTACCTAAAACACTTAAAAATTTCAAAGAAATAGGGTTGGAGCTACAGTGACAGAGTTTCCCCCTTATTTTTCCAAATTTTCTCATATTTATTTGTATTTTCCAAGGGGTATATGTAGAAAAATCTGATCTGCCTTCCCTCTCCCTATTTGGATGAAATTTGCCACCTCATGGGAGTCATGTGACAGTCATCAAGTGCTAGAAGAAGTCAGATTTGAACAAGTGGCTAGTTTCTAGATTTTTCCAAGCATTTATCCCTTAATTTTGCATTTATTTTCATTAATTCTTGAAGTAGCCAGAAAACAATGAAATTGGGCCCTTATTAGGCTCAATATGGGTCCCACAAATGGTTTGGACTGATCCAAAAAGATGGCCTACAATCCAAATCAAAATCCCAAACCAATTCGAAACTTTATCGGTTACTATTTAGCAGTAACCTTTCATAATTTTTCTAGACCTCCAAAAATTGATTTCTCTCCAAGATAATTCACCTTTTCAATATGAGAACATGATCTGAAAATTTTCAGAAATTTTTGCCACCTCTAAGTATTTATTTTGAATTTTCTCCAATTAGGCCTTTATCGGCGTTACTATAGGAAAATAAATTTTCTAAAATTAATTCCTAAACTTTCAAGACCTAAAACCAATTTTTTAAATTCAAAAAAATATTTATATGATTTTTTCATAATTTTCCCATAATTATTGAGGCTTCTAACTAATTAAAATAATTATTTTCCTCTAATTTTCTAATATTTTCCTGAAAAACCTCTGTTTACGGGAAATTCCATAATAATTTATTTTCACCATAATTTCACCTTTTGAGCCTCAATCAAATTTTCAAAACCTCTAACCCTCACTTTTCCCATTTTTTGGGATTTTCTAAAATTTTTCTCAAATTTTTCTGTTTTGCCCTTCCTAGACTGATAATTACGAAAATGCCAGCCCAAATCTTATCGGGGTTTCACATCAAAAGTTGGCTCGTCTCCCCGTCTGGTTTCTATATTGGCCCCATCTCAATTTTTGATTCCCTATGTCCAAGTAAAATTTCTCAGGATGTGACAATTCCTCCTCCTTTTAAATAAATTTCATCCTTAAAATTTAGAAACACACCTTATCTAACAGCTCTGAGTATCTGGCATTCATGTCGTTTTCCTTCTCTCGTGTGGCCTCTTCCTGAGTTAGATCCCCCCAAGATAACTTTAACTATCAGGATAGCCTTATCCTGTAGCTGTTTGATCTGCTGATCTATCACTCTTACTAGCTTCACTTCGAAGATGAGGTTATCTCGTAGCTCCATATTTTCGTATTCTAAGGTGTGAGAGGGATCCAGCGGATACTTTTTCGGTTGAGAAACATGGAAGACATCATAAATTTGACTCAAACTAGGGGGTAGGGCCAAGATGTAAGCCTCCAGGCTAACTTTTGATAGGATTTGGAAGGGTCCTGATGAACTTTGGTATCACGTTACAAGCTTTGATCGACCTCCATATACCCATAGTTGGAGGTACCTTCAGATAAACGTGGTTTCTAACTTTGAATTTCAAGGGTTTTCCATCGTACGTTGGCATAGTTTTTTTGTCCTTTATATGAGCTTAGCTTATTTTCATGACATTAACATGGCAGTGCTTATGCCTTCATAGCTTTTTACTGTACCATGGTATTTCAACTTCCTCTAACAATGCTTTCATTTATTACTTCTAGCATACCCAATTGTTCCCATCTTTACTTTAAGGGCATGCCTCTTCTGTTTCGTATTCTCATCTCGCATTTAGCTTGCCTGAATATATACCCTTCAGGACTTACAGCTTGCAGTTCCTTTAACTCTTACTTTCCTCCCCTTCTTTTAGTGGCTAGAGTAGAGTTGAGTATGACCTATTTAACAATAATGGTGTTTGTGAAAAAGTCAAGAGTACACTCTTTGTACTAAATAACCAACCTGAGGAAGTTTTTCCATTTTAGACTCATCCATGGTCATCTCATTCTCATGTTCTAAAGAGATACTATTCTCATAGCTCAGTAACCTTCCTTTAGGCTTGGTCTACTGTAACCTTGAGAGCTACCACGCTCTCCTGTAAGCCTCTTCAGAACCTACCGTGACCCTGAATTCTTTCCCATTCTGCCCAGACCAGGTTCCACTCTTTAGGAGTCTTTAGGCTAGTAGGCTGAGTTAGAGAATAAGTTGTCTATCCTCAGTTGGTGACTTAACTGATCATTCTCTAAGACCGATCACAAGTGCCATTAACAAACTCAAAAACCTGTTGTTAACTGATATATTGAAGTTGTTAATAGCGTTACAAAAGTTATTAATTGTTATACTGAAGTTATAAAAAATTTTAAAAAAATTGTTTTCCACCGCCGGAGCTCCAACGACCAATTATTGAATTTCTCGAAAAACCTATTGTTAACTAATATACTGAAGTTGTTAATAGCGTTATAAAAGTTGTTAACGATTATTTTAAGTTGTAAAAATTTTCAAAAAAATTGTTTCCGACCACCGGAGCTTGTTGAATTTCTCAGAAACCTGTTGTTAATTGATATACTAAAGTTGTTAATAAGATTACAAAAATTGTTAACTGTTATACTGAAATTGTAAAAAATTTTAAAAAAAATTGTTTTCGGCCGCTATAGCTTGTTGAATTTCCTAGAAAACTCGTTGTTAACTGCTATACTGAAATTGTTAATAGTATTACAAAAGTTATTAACCATTATAGTGAAATTGTAAAAATTTTCAAAAAAATTGTTTCCGACTGCTGGAGGTCCGACGACTGACTGGCCGGCCAGTAGGAGCTTTAATATTTTAAAAACAATAAATAAAATGAATGGTAATTTAGTCTTTTTCTTTAACATAATAATTCTACCAAATTGGGATTTCTCAAATTTAGCAGATCAATTGGGTATTATGAAATTCAAGTGTCATTTTTTTGTCCTTTTCCTTTTATTTTAGATGTTTTAAATTCAAAACCCAAATTCCCAATTCTCTTCTCCGTCTCACAATGGAAGACCACGGCCCCTTCCCTCGCCTTGGCACCTCGCGCCGTCGCGCGTCCCTCCTCCTGTCGCCGACCATCCTCGCCTTCACTGGACCACTCTTCACTCTTCGCTTTCGCGTACCCCCTTGTCGCTTTCGACTTCAACGACGGACCAGCTGCAGCTCTCGGCTACCATCTCCATTCTCTACCTCATCCTCGTCCAGTCTCGTCCTCCATCTCCAAATCTCCATTGCAGACCCGCTAAGCTGAAGATCTTGGCATCTCGAGTCTCGCACTCTCAGTCTCGTCGCTTTCCGTGAGTTCGTGTTTGGCTGGTAAGAGACAAACCTTCTTTTCAATCTAGATTTGGCCGCAAAGCATGATCTTCTGCTTCTTCTTGGTTGCTTCTGCATCTAATATGGAAAATACATAAAAGATTCGCATTTCTTCTTTTATCTCAAGAGTTAACTACTTTTTTTTCCTGCTAAAGCCGCATTTTCTGCTACCTTTCTGTTGTACACTAATACTCGCGTTAGCTAAAAATACTTGGCGATTAATGTTGCTGATTATAATTTTTATAATATATTTAAATTTATATTATTATGTATTTTTCTTCCTTTTGTTTTCTCTTTTTTATATCCAGGGGGTCTTATATTTCCATGCAATGACTCTTATTATGAGAACTAGCCATTTGTAGTATAGAGTTGTGGAGCCTGGAGATAAACTCTCCTCGGGTCCTTTGCATTCTTTTGTGGTTTTGATTTATGAATGTGGTAGATTGTTGTTTGTGAAATTGGTTTTATATGTTTTCATTCCATCAATAACATTACTTTTCATGGAAAAAAGACACCAAATGTTGAGCCGAAGCATCCAATTGGTATCAATCCCGTGGCTGAGGCAGACAATGGCATCAATTCCCTACCATCTAAGTTTTCTATTGAAGCTGGTATGCTTAGATTGGCCGAACTTCACCTTCCTTCTAAGTTGCAAAGTTATGCAGCAAGCACCATAATGAATGGTGGAGAGGAATTCTTTCGACAAGTCTTCATAATGCTTCCACCCAGAAGAGCTGTGATCTACTTCCTCAACTATCACATGAGAAGGAGCTGGGCATAGACTAGTATTTTTAATTTTCTACATTTTAACAACTGTGTTCATTGAGCTTAATCATGTTAATGTTATTGACTCTCTCTATGTTTTGATATTTTATACATTTTAATGACTATTAGCCTAACTAGCTTTTGTTGATTAGTCCCACAAAATACCTATATGGCGTTTACTGCAGGAAAATGGCAGAGCTCCATCTGTTGAATCACTGAAGTCTGTGGATCCTTCTCTGACTCTTTACTTGAAGTAGTTTTGGTTGATCAGCATGGTGATCCTAGCTTAAAGGAATTGCAGAATACAGCGCATTGTATTTCTTGTAGCTCTATAACCTCTAAAGAGTTTGCAACCGAATAGGGTTAGTCTCCTCGGCATTCTCAGCAAGAACAGTAAGCTTAGATTTTAAGTAAAATAAATTCATGGGGAAATTTTTATTTTTATTTTTATTTTATTTGATAGCTCCCACAAAAACCACAAATGGGCAACCAAATGGAGAAAATGAGGAGTAAACCAGGTTAATCATGGCATTCAGAATTTAACTGTTTATAATAATAGATACAATATGTCGATTTATCTGACCTGTGGTGTTACCACGTGGCACGGTGGGGTCTGTGAGGGCCTGCTTGGTACTATGTATAGATAGATAGATTAGAATGGGGGTTTGGAAAGCAATGAGCCAATGACTATCAATAAGGAGAAAACAAACAAAATAGTTTTATTATTACTTTTGGTTCAAAATATAGGAGTTAGACAAGAGTTAAAAAAAAAGAAAAAAGAAAGAAAAAAACAGTACAAGGCTTAAACCAACTGCTTTGCTTTCTCTTACTTTTACCTGTTGATATGTTAATAGGCCAACGTTAAACTTGCCCTATCCAACAACATTCATCATTTGAGATGTCACTTATGTTTGATGAATATTAATATATCTTTGTCAAACTCTGTTTGCTATCTGCATACTTATGTTCTAGGAAAAATTATAATAAGGTCCCAAGAAATTGTGATGTATATTTTACACATCACGTTATACTAAATTGATGTATATATAAGAATTTTGACGGCATTTTTATTTCTTCAGCTTCCTCCTCTAATATATCACTTGCTTTCAGAAGCTATTCATCAGTTTTCGTGAGGGGACGGCCTGTGGGGCTGGCCTGTTTTAAAATAAAAAAAGCCTTAGGCTTTTTTGATGATTTGTTTGGTCTAATAAGCCAGGTCTAGCTTTTTTAGGAAGCCTATTAAGCTTGTTAAGCTTAACCTAGCCTATTTATTTATCTTAGTTTTAATATTTATTTTATACTTATATCTAGTTTTATTTCAAATTTTAACATATAATTATAACTTGTTTTCAATAATATTAATTGTAATTAAGATTTAAAATATTACTTATGAAATTCAAATTTAAATAAAAGATAATAATAAAAAATAATTATTATGTAGTATGCATGTTTACTTTTTCATTAGTCTATGTATTTTTTACTATGTATTTAAAAATTTTAAAATTATAAGCTTTTTTAATAGGCTCGGGCCAAGTTAGACCTTTATACAAGTTAGACTTAGGCTAAGAACAAAAAACTTATAACAAGCTATAGGTTAGGCTCAGGAAGGCTTCTTACTAAACATGTCCGGTTTGTTTTCATCCCTAATCTTGAACCTACTTCAGAAGTTATCTGAACAGTATTAAGTTAGTTTTTTTTGTAATAAATGAGTATTGTCTTTTATTAGAATATAAACTTCTTATCATGTGCAATCACCATAGGACTATTTTGGGAAAAAAATTAAATAAATATAGAAGATAAAGTAATATGAAGTCTTATATTTATGATCAACTTGAATTTTTAACTAGTTTTTATATTCATGACCTGGGGTACTATTTATTTATGGAGGATTAAAACCATTACGGACTCCATGGAAAAAGCGCCATTATAAATACACGTATAAATAAATCTAAATCTGACACAAATCAAGAAATTTCCATTTGTAGGAATAAAATATTGACATAATGAAAGAAAGAACACATTCAATTAATCATATTTTTTACATCATTTTTTTCATATAAGTCTCATAAAAATTATTCGAGAAGGAAATTTTTTGCATTTTCAACCCCCACCTCTTCATTAAGGCACTTAGGCAGTGGTTGACGAAGGATCTATCTTTTGTTTCCTTCCTAACGTTCTTCTCTTGTAAGTTTGCTGTTTGTTTAGTATGCAGATTTTCGCTTGGGAAAAAAAAAAAAGAATGAAGAGAAACAGATTTCCTCTTTCTTTTGTTATCTTATTATTGTGTGATTGTTATGAATATTACATGAATGTCCATTTACCCCTTCCTCTTTATCTTCACCAAGTAACTTCCACTACCTTCACCATGCATTACTTCTTTACTATCCATCACTCCTTCACTATCCATTTAATCTTGTAACTCACCTCCATTCACATTCATGAGATTGATTATTCACTATATCATTTAAGGACAATTGTAACCAATTTGTAAGATTATGCCTATAAATAGGACATGTCATTTATGTTGTAGTATAAGTGAGAAATACATTAGTTCTCTCATTCTCTTGTCTTCGTCTTTCTCTACTCTACTTTTGTGATTTCATTTTGACTCCATTTCACAAAACGTTATCATCATGAAACGCTCTTATAATCGGAAGGTAAATTTTTATATTTTCATATTGATTTGTTTCATAACTATTCCATTCTCTTAATATTAATTTTCATTTAACTTTTATATGATAGTATTATCATTTCAAATCTCATGAAACTTGAGTTTATGGCTCTTTACATTACTAGAAAGAATTATTTAACCTGGATATTAGATGCGAAAATCCATCTAAATGCTAATGATCTAGGAGACAATTAAGGAAGGCAACCAAGCATCCAACCAAGATAAAGCCAAAGTCATGATCTTTTTATGTCACTATTTGTATGAGGGACTAGAGATTGAATATTTGACTATAAAAGATCTACTTGTTTTTTGAAACAATTTAAAGGAGGGGTATGATCACTAGAAAACTATAATCCTTCCTAAAGCTCATTATGACTGGATGCATTTATATTTGCAAGACTTTAAATCTGTGATCGAATATAATTTTGTAATGTTTAGAATTAGTTCTCAACTGAAACTATGTGGAGAAAAAAATATTGATAAAGATATATTATAAAAAACATTCTCCACATTTATGCATCCAATGTGCTCTTGCAACAGTAGTACTATGAGAAAGGTTTCAAAAAATATTCTGAATTAATTTCTTGCCTGTTTGTGGTTGAGCAAAATAATGAGCTTTTAATGAGAAATCATGAATCTTGTCCTACTGGCTTCACTCCATTCCCAGAAGCGAATGTAGTCGCAAGTGAGTCAACCCATCACCGTGGACGTGGCCGTGGTCGTGGAGCATTTCCACCAGAAGTGGGCAAATAATGATGAGAATCATCAAAAGAAATCTAGTGGAAATAATAATCATACTGAAAAACTTTGTTATCGTTGTGGTGGCAAGAGTCATTGGTCTCATACTTGTCGTACACTAAAACATTTGGTTGACGTCTATCAAGAATCGTTGAAAAATAAGAATAAAAATAGAAATAAAGGTAAAGAGCCAAAGATGTAAACAAATTGTATTAGAGAAGAAGGCGATTTTGATTATGGTAACATGGATTTTACTGATTTCTTTGCCGATTCTAATGAAAGAATTGACTACTTAATTGGTGGTGAAAGTATCCAAAAATGAATCATCTTGATGTAATTGAGTTTTTATAGTTAAGTATATTTTAGTATTTCACTTACAAGTGTGCTCTTTTTATCTACCACAATAAATTCTATACTTGTAAGGTTATTATCCCATAAATAAATATAATTATGAGTTTTTTCATAAAATTATGTTTTTTTAATTAATCGTGTTTTCTTTTTAATCTTTTCCCTTTTTTTTCCATGAAGAATGACTATTATTGACATTAATAATAAAGATTTATGTCTCGATGATAGTGCAACAACTCACACAATACTCAGAAATGAGAAATATTTCTCTTCTCTGGTAATGTGAGAAGCCAATGCCCAGATTATATCTTGAAGTATAAACCTCATTGAAAGCTCTAGAAGAGCCCATATATTACTACTTGAAGCAACAAAATTAAACATTGATAATGCATTTTGTTCTACCGAGTCTAATAGAAATTTACTGAGCTTCAAGGATATCTGTAGAAATAGATATCATGTTGAAACAACAAATGACAGAAATCAAGAATATTTTGTTATCACAAGTTTAATTTTTGATAAGGAATGCACTTTAGAAAGATTACCTTCCTTTTCTTCAGGCTTGTACTACACATTTATTAATACAATTGAAACACATGCTATTATAAACCAGAAGTTTACAATTGACAATAAATTTAATGTTTGGTATGACCAGTTAGGCCATCCCGGAACAATTACGATGTGAAAGATAGTTGAGAATTCATGTGGACATTCATTGAAAAGTCAATAGATTCCACAGTCACATGTTTTTTCATGTGCTGCATGTTCTAAAAGAAAGTTAATCACTCTACCATCACCAGCAAAAATAGAAAGTGAGTTTCTCACATTTCTAGAACGCATATAAGGGGATATTTGTGGACCGATACACCCACTATGTGGACTATTTAGGTATTTTATGGTTTAAATTGATTCAATAAGATAGTCACATGTTTTCTTATTATCCTCTCGTAACCTAGTATTTGCAAGGTTGCTTGCTCAACTAATTAGATTAAGAACACATTTTCTTGACTATCCAATCAAGAAAATATGTTTGGATAATGCTGGTGAATTTACTTCGCAAGCTTTCAATGAGTATTGCATGTCTCTTGGGATTAATGTTGAACATCATATACCACATGTTTATACGCAAAATAAACTTACAAAATCATTAATTAAATGACTACAATTAATTGTAAGACCATTTACTTATGAGATCAAATCTCCTAATTTCTGCTTGGGGACATGTAATTTTTCATGTAGTAACATTAGTTCGTATCAAGCCAACAAGTTATCTCAAGTCCTTTCCTTTACAATTGGTTTTTGGTCAGAAACCTAATATCTCCCATCTAAAATTTTTTGGAAGTGCAGTATATGTTTCTATTGCTCCACCATAACATACTAAAATGGGTCCCCAAAGAAGGATG